AAAATAATTAGGGATTCTTTCCAATTCCCTAATTGATGAGAGGACAGAGCTGACATGGCCAGTGTGAAGGAACTCAGGAAGAGTAGAGCAGGGCTTGAGTCAGGCAGAAGGGGCAGGGCAGGGCAGGGCTGGAAGGACAGGGTGCTCCGTGTATTGAGAACACTTCTGCAGACTGTGACAATTCAAGGCAGAGCCAGGTGGAGCGTGGAACAGCCGAGAGGCTACCTAGAGCCACAGCCCCAGAGACTGGCTGGGCATTCAAGTGCATGACACAGAGGAGGTCACTGACAAGTGTTTCTGTGCTTATTGGTGAAGGTCACCATAGTGCACGTTGGCAGAGAATACCAATAATATGCTTTGGCAGAGTCCTACACGCAGACTGTAGACTGAGGTGAATGCAAGGGGTGTCAGGGTGCACTGGGTGTGCTAGAGCCAAATCTCAGCACCTCTCAAAAGCCAAAATTGTTGAATTTTCAGAAATTTTGCAAGGTGACTGTTAAACACAGAAATTACTAAAATTAAATCACTAATGAAGTCATTTTAAAAGCAAAGTTAATAAATATTCAAAACTCATTATTTCCTAATTATTTTACCATATTTTAGGAAAATTATTATCCACGTTCTTAAGGTTATTTGATTCTTTTGTATCTGCATGGTAGAAATACTATGTAATGGCGTGCTGCTGCTCATGTCCTCTCAACTCTGTGTTTAGTGATGTTGTTGATAGTTTGAAACCTGCCAGGATAGGAGTGTCGATTGCTAATACCGCAAACCAGGGCTTAACTTTTTGCTTTGTTGATTGTTTAGAATTAAGAATGTGGTAAAAAAATAAACTGTTAATTATGCAAATAAAGCTTAAAAGTATGTCATGTCTGTAGCCATTACACTGTGAATGGCACAAGACATTGCAGGAATAGTTCTTCCAGTATTGGAAAGTCATAATCTGCTTCAGCAAAGCGCTCACTCACATCATTAACTGGAGTGATGTTCCACAACGTCTTTGTTGTTTCACTTTTATCATATTCAACACACATGAAGAACAACATTCATGTAGGAACTATACTTATTTGTCAATTGCAAGCAATTGATAAGTTGGTTTTAGCTGTAGGTGACTATAAATAGAAGAGTTCAACAAAAAGCAGAAAGCATTCTGCAAGAATAAATTGGCTATATGGAATTTAGGAAAAAACGATATTGGGTATTTTATTGTTCTCGAATTGTGTGCTACATATTCTTTCTTATACCACTAAAATTTAGAATAAACTGTGTACATATGCACGCACATGCATTCTTTGGGGGCAGAGCCAGTCGTTAACTATGTACTAGTTCACCATTGGGTTTGAACACTATACTTTCTTTATCTGGTGCTCCCAGGGGAGCCAGCAAAAGGAAAGGAGTTTGCTCAAAAACAGAGCTCCATTTCTTCCAGCATGGAGTGAGTGTCTTTATAATAAAGACTAAGGACGGTTGGAATATTTAAAAGGTATATATGAAGACCATGATGGGTGAGAGAGCCCTACAGATACAGGACTAACTGCAGTGAAGGTTCGCCCCCAACACCTGACATTTGCACATTATCCCTTGCATTTTAATTTGTGCTTCTAATTCAAGTCACATGTGCAACTTGAGAGCCTATAAATCACAAAGGGTCTTTCAAACAAGGTTAGTATGTAAATATAAAATATAACATTAAGTTCCCATCATTAATATTGAAGAGTAAGTCAATATTTGATAAAAATCACCTCAGGGGAATGTGCCTTTCTGCCTGGTTTTATGCCTCGCAGACTTATTCAATTATTATTTAATTACCCGGTTAAATGTCATGGCTTACAAAGCAGGGATTATATTAATAATAGCATGAGGTTTATTTTAAACCAGCCCGACATTAGATAGAGCTGATTTTGTTTTACCCTCTCACAGAGCACAGAATTTACATTAGTCCTCTGCACCTGGTTTTGAATGAATTGCTTCTATTTAAGCTTTCTTCCCCCTCCTGCTCCTTTTTAAAAAATCATCCTCCTGTATTTGTTATATTTTTCCAGTTTTTCAGCTATTCTCCACCCCACCTCTTCTTCTGCCCTCTGGGAGTCTTAATTCCATAGTAAATCAAATACCTTAACAAAGGATTGTGCCTGAAACCCAGAAACAGAAAATAGATGCTGGGTCACAGAGAACAATCTAGTTTCAAAAGAAGGTGGCAGGCCACGCAGAGCAGTTTCCGAGCCAACACCTTCTGACTGAATGGTTCGCTGTTTAATTCATCTCTATAAAGTCGCTATAGCAACCGCTCTCTGGGAAGGATTTATTGGCACCTTAGATGGACTTTATTTCCCTGGCATTCGAAAAGGAGGGCGAAGACACCTAATGAGAGGGCTGAGTGACATTAAATCGGCCCCTTTTCAGCTTCATCATATTGGACCAACATTTGGGGTATTTTGAGCGTGGCCTTTTGTCAGTCTAGAGTGGCAGAGGTGCTCTCAGGAGGGGAGTGGAGGGGGGGAGAGGAGAGGACCCGGGAGGGCTGGGGAGAAGGCTGGGAGAACAGCTGAAACGTGGTGGGCCACTCAGGCCTTTTGTTCTGCACCATCTGTGTGCTGTGGTTTTGGGAGTGGAGCCAAAGCAACGTTACCTGTATTGTGCTCCTCGGAGCTGGGGCGCCGCTGCAGCCCTGCCTCAGACACGGGGGCCTCACGTACAGTGACAGGGCCATAATAGCCGGGCAAATAAACTATTTGAACATTTGGCTTTATGAATATTGAGCAAAATTCTTCAAATAAATTATGAAAATTACTCTAAGTGAACAGACATCTGAATCCCATCACAAGCCTAGGGCCACTGATTTGTAATGCTAAGTATGATAATAGTTGTATAAATGAGGAATAGTTTTCAGAATAACTGATGGGCTGCAAAAACTGATGCATTAAAAGGGGTACCACTTACTGATTGCTCTTAAAGAACACCAGAGCCTAGGACGTTTAGCTGTGTAGCTGAATGGAATACATGCAAAATATACATACATACAGCACCTTTCCAAGTGCTGAAAATAAAAGTCAAATTATGCAGCCTTAAAAAATTATAATTTACAAGGTATCATATAATCTGTCAGGAGGTCAGTTTGGCAAGAGATATTGAAATCTTTAAAATATTGAATAATCTTTGACTCAGCAGTTCCACCGCTGGTAATTTGTCCTAAGGTAATAATTGTGATACATACAAAGTCTTAGCAAAGAAAGTCAGTCACAGCATGCGTAATTACTTAACCTTCAGAAATCCTCTAAATGTAAACCATGGGGAACTGTTTAAAATAAATTATAGAATATCTGTGTAACAGAGTATTTTGTAGCCATTAACTATGTTGCTGAAGTATATTTGATAAAATGGAAACATATTAATAAGGCAGTACTGAAGAAAAAAAGCAGGTTACTACAGAATATATATAGCTAATTACATTTTTAGGAGCACATATACATAAAAAATCTGCTGAGATACAATAAAATATTAATAGCTGTTATCTCCATGGAGGGGAATTAGAGATGATTTTATTAATTATGCTTGCTTATATTTTCTGGGTTTTCAACAATGAATTTGTTTTCCCACTGTACTAAAATTTTATAGAAGTATTGTACAAAGGAAACTTGCTCTTTTTACATTTCTGTCTGTCAATCACTTACACGTAACTGTCATCCAAGTTATTTTAGGAGAAGGAAAATCCTGGCCACACGTTTCAGGTTCATGTGTCCCAATAAGCTCACATCTACTCTGGGCATTAATGGGACACAGAGGTCCAGGTTTTCTTAAATGCAGGAAGATGTGGTATCAAACCCGTACACTGGTCTTGGTTCTGAGGTCCACGGTTCAGGGAGCCCCCTCTGAATTTGGGAGAATTCTGGAGAATCAAATTGCTAGAAGCAGTGATCCAAGATGGCAGGGAGAAGGAAAAATGAAGGTGGTTCTACAAACAGAGCAGAATGTGTTCTACATGTAGTGCAATTATAGAATAAGAAGATTTGTTTTATAGCTGTCTTGGAGAAAACAGCCTCTCTATTTTATAATCCTATACAATACAGTACAGAAATAGCTAATGGAACCTCTGCAGAGCTTCACTTTGGGGCAGGAAGACTACCCGGTGGTGACAGCCTTTCCCCTCTCTCTGGCCATCCCCAGGAGTCAGAAATACAACAGAGGATGCTGGTCCTCTTCTCTCATCTCCCTCCACCCCAGCATAGGCAGTCATCAACGACCAATCAATCAATCAATTGGAGTTCACATCTGAGCGAGGACCCAGAATCTTTGCAAAGCACCATGCTCTCATCTACCAGGCTTGCTCTGCGCTGTGACAAAAACAGTACACAGAACCTGGAACACCTTTACAAATCAGGTATTTTATTATTAATAGAACTCAAAAGAATGCAGTGCCTTCCTTGCATTTATTGTTCTAGGAATAAAAAGTCATATATTAATAGTAAGTTTATCCTAACCTCCCCAACCCCTGAATAAAGAGTTTTATATATATAAAGAATTTATATACATAAGGAATTTTCAGTGGTTGCTATAGTTTGTTACATATGCTTATATTAACATTGGCAACACTTGCATAAACTTATTATATTAATAGAGTTACATGAATTTGATTTTAGAAAAATAATCTATCCTTGGAAGGAAAGTGTCATCACCTCCATGTAAACAATATTCCTCTGCAAACAATGCCTTTATTTTGGCAGCGTGTCTTTCCTGCCATCTGCCTTGCAAAGCACTTGCCAGAGTTGCAATAATAATTGAGTTACAGAGGGAATTAGGTGTAATGGAGGGGAAGGAAATTGATTGCTTAATTTTTATTAACAAAAAGAGAGAAAATTGGGGTGCCCTGCTGTGAACCGAAATGAAACAAAGAGGAAAGATACAGAGAGACGACTCCAGGTGGCAGGAATGTTCCTGCACACACATTAGCAATCCTACAGGGAGATTGAGAAGAGGCCAATGCTAGCTGAGCAGAGGAAACTGGAAGAGCAGCAAGAGGGCAAAGGTACAGCACAAAAGGACGCAGACACCTGGAGACCATGCACTTCTGCTGGGAAGAGTAGCTGAGTTTTTACAGCATTCTGCCTGTCTGAAGGTCAAGGATCACATCTCTGCCAGGTTGAAGTTGGAGGCCGAGGTATGTGTGCACATCTGTGTGTAGATTAAATGACTTCTGATTCTTGCCTTCCCGTGAGGCTGCAGTGCCTCTGAGGGAACAGAAAGTGTATAAAGCATGGGTTGGATTCCTAGGGGGCATTCAGTCTTCATCAAGACTAGGCTACCACCCCTGAGCAATCGTACACTGGGCTGTGAATTAAAAAGAGGCTGCCTGACCTGAGCTGTACCTGCCCCACTCCACCTTCCTGTGAGGTCAGTTACCGTCCTCCCTAGGCTCCCTGGAACTCACTCTAATCTGATATCAGTTTCACATGTTTGGTTTGCGGGATGTAGGAAGGAAGCAGACCTCCTGGATGCCAGGTGAGAGGGGCAATCGGCTAAGGGAGAGAGGCTCAGATGATAATATCATTGTATCATCCAGGTCACTTAATGCTGTTCCACACTGTCAGCTGCACACAGGATGTGGTGGAACCACAGGAATGGGGAATCTTTTCATGTTGGAAAGCCACGTTCATTTAGCTGTAGTCAAATAAGGCCATATTCAAGAAGCTTCAATTAGATATGCTTTAAAATGTACATTATTTTGCAAAAATCTAACTACTGTGTACTTCATAAATTCAAAAAATGAAAACTATTTCTTAATTTCGAAGTTAACTAACCTCTTAATGATTTTATTGTGTCTGCCTTTTGTTGGAAAGTATTTGAATATTTGGTTGCAGCATGGAGGTCCACAGTTTCAGTTAATCATCTAGATTAGTAGCCCCCAACCTTTTGGCTTCCCTTTTTTCCTGAGTATATAAACTACTTTATAAGTTGCTTCAGTGGCATTATTTCCAGGTCTTATTGCTGCTTGAAAGAATTGTCTTTGCTTTTGCTTTTAATCTTTTAATCTCTGCAATACAACCTTTCATGCCTCTCCTGACCTCGAACAATCCGCCCACCTCGGCATCCCAGAGTGCTAGGATTACAGATGTGAGCCACCGCACCCAGACTGAGTGTGATGTCTTAATTCTCAAAGTCAATGAACCTTTCACTGTATTCTCTAATTAATAGGTGTATAACAGCTGCATATTCATCAAATGATTTTTATATATCATTCTGCTCATCAATGACCTTTGCTAACTGGGGAAAATGTTCATCCAACATTTCCTTTTGAAGAAGAAGTGTTTTGAAAAAATAGCTTTTTTTGAAATGCTTGGATTTTTTGCCCCATATCATATATAGACTTAGTTTTACCTTGCAAAGAAATATTCAAGTCATTTTGATTTGACATGATATCACAGAAAAATGCTGCATTCCTATAGAAATCTTCTTTTAATAATTCACATTGCTGATTCTGTTCTTCATAAAATTGAATTATCTGTTCTAGCAGAGAAAAATTGTTAGCTAACACCTGTCCCTGTGATAGCCAATGCACTTTAGAATGATTTGGCAAACCCATACTGGATGCTTCATTGTTCAACTTTAGCATGTTATGAAACTGAAGATACCATGTTGCATTTTCACAAATATAGTTAACAATTCTTATAACTTGTTGCAAAGTGTCACTTACAATAGTAGCTTTAGCATAGAGATTTTGCTGATGCAAGATACAATGAAAAGAAATGAGAGCATCTGGATCTGTTAATACGTTTTTGAATCTGTACAATAAACCCTTAATGTTTTCCTGTCATGGAAGGTGTACCGTCTGTACATACATTCACCAAATTTACCAAATTCAGTCTAATTTCACAACATTTATCTTGAAAATTGTTGAAGATATCTATTTCCTGTGTTATGTTCATAAGAGTGCCCAAAGTGAATAACTCTTCATAGCAAAGAAAATCTTCTGCTATGACCTGAAAGAAGTATAAACTCTTCACCAAGTCAGTATTATTACTTGATTCATACAAAAAGATTGAATAATATATATTTTCCTTTTGAAATATTGCATGAAGTTGTTCCGTTAAGTTGGAGGCTTATTCATGCTGCCAATTAATTATGGTTCTCCTTGAAAGAGACAGTTGTTTGTACTTTGAAGTGTTATCAGGGATCTAAGCATCCTACAACTTCAACGATGCATTCTTTCACAATTCCTACGTCACTGAATGGCTTCCCTTTTTTCCTGAGTATATAAGCTACTTTATAAGTTGCTTCAGTGGCATTATTTCCAGGTCTTATTGCTGCTTGAAAGAATTGTCTTTGCTTTTGCTTTTAATCTTTTAATCTCTGCAATACAACCTTTCATGCCTCTCTCTCTAAATTAAAATATCCGTGGTCCTTATGAGTGTTATAATGCTGATGAGCATTGACATTTTTTTTTAGTTTTTTTTTAGACTTTTTTTTTATTTCGGCATATTATGGGGGTACAGATTTTAAGGTTTCAATAAATGCCCTTTCCCCTTCCCCTACAAGTCTGAGTTTCCAGCATGACCATCCCCCAGATGGTGCACATCTCACTAATTTTTTTAATGTTGATATTGAAGTATCACTAAGCAAGCAAATCATCTTATCTTTAGCAGAAACAAGATAATATTACAATTCCCAATCCTCATTAAAAAAAATCTATTTTCTTCAGTGTTTCCTTGGTCTTCTTTGACATGATAGGCTGTTAAGCAGACAGAATTAAAAAATACTGTCGAGCTGTGCAATTCTTCACAAATTCCACTTCAAACAGAAACACAGTGCACCATTGTCAAAAGATGATAACAGACTGGTCTACTCGACCCCCATAAACTCTAGCCAACTAGCCTTGTACAATAGTGGCACAGCCAGGCAGGGCAAGTTAGAACTAAATCATGATCATAGCAGCTGTCACTTCAGCCCTTATGGCTGACTAATGTTCTAATTGTGCTAGTCAATCTGGGAGGATCATTTTGTTGAAACTTACTCTATTCTTTGGTATTTTAAAGATGTTCATTTTAAAAATAAAAACATAAAAGACAAACAAAAATATATTAATAAAAATAGAAGGATTTGTTCTGTAAAATTTGAATTCAGGCAGAAGGCCACACTTAAGGACCTAGAAGTCCACATGTGGCTCCTGCCCTAGGGGTTCTACCCTCCTGACCTCCTTCCTGCAGCCATCTTGATTCTGGGTAGCAAGTGTGTAGGCTTTTCAACTGAGAATGATAGTAAGTAGACTCTCACCACAACTGTGAGCAGACGTGTTTGCCAAAGAAAAAGCCATTAATCACAATTTGCCTCCCTCAGAGAAAACAGGAAAGAAGCATAGAGCCGCATTCCATACTAACTAATGGGCATCATTTTCATATGTTTAAAGTATAATTTGGGGAAACTCTAACCGATAAAGTAGAACCCAGCAATGCAGCAAGACAGATAATATTATCATCTGTAAAATGAGTGGGGGGAGGAAGTGAAATAAATTTGATACATTCATATGATACACTATTAGATAGACAAAAATAATGCTTTTGATGTCTGTTTAAATATGTGAAAATTTTCATGATGTAAAGGTAAATTGTAAAGAGGATTTCAGCTGCTATTAGATAGTATGGACCCAATTATAGACTCAGTGAAAGAGAAAGGGAAATATAGGTGAGAATAAAAAAGACTAAGAAAGTATACAAAAATGTTAACAGAGGATAACTGTGGATGATGAGATTATGGGTGTTTTTTATTGTCCTCTTTATATGTTTCTGATTATCCCATTTTGCCCAAATGATCTTGTGTTGCCTAAGCATCAGAAAGCAAATTTAATGCCATTAGGTCAGAGAAATTTTGTATTTATTAGCACTTTTTTTTTAAAATATGGGGAAAGCAATGAAGGAAAGAAAAGTTAATTAAATTACAATAATTTGAAATATGTAGTTCTGTTTCAGATAGTCATGCACAGGAGTCAGATAGTTATCAGGCTTCCTGGACCCTCAGTTGACAGGACTCTTCCCCATGCTCGGGTATTACAGACTCTCCAGCTCAGCTGGTTTTATCTGGCTTTTCTGAACTTGATCAAGTATGTAATTGGATATTTTCCAAAGACTGATGACCTTTAGAACATCCTTTGTTTATGTAGTTCTTACATATAATCTGTGCCATAACTTAAAATATATAATTTAAAATGCTAGCCATCCAAGGTTGCCTTCACCCAAGCCTTCCCTGAAATGTTTACTGCAGAGAGCAACACTGGATTTGTGGTCACAGAGTTTTACCTCAAAATGTAATCAAAGGACCCCAGGATCCCCATCTTCCAACTGTGTCATGAAATTTGAGTGATCTGGGCCATTAATTATAATGTTCCTAATTGTCTCAAAGACTTCTGGTTGTAACATGGTCTTCCCTGTGGGACAGAGACCAACAGGATTATTGGCCTCCAGGAGACATTGGGCTCCCATCATTTTTTGGTAGCATCTCAGGCCACAAGCTGACCCATATTTCTTCCCTCCTAGGCTGGTTAGCTATCTGAAATGAAATTGGCACCATGGGCTTCCTGAGACTCCCTGACTTTACCTGCTAACTCTGAGCATCCAACTAAGTCCCGCTGCCTCTAGGACAGAGGCAATTGTTTCCAAGTCCTGATCACTCAGCACCTAGGGTGAGGCTTTACCAAATAATTTCTAAAAATTAAGACATACAACTACTCCTAATAGTCCCCAAATGGAAACCCCAATGTGTACCAACTGAAGAGTAGATAAATAAAAATTTCTATTTTCACACAGTGGACTACTTGATATCCATGAGAATAAATATTTACAACTTTGTGCAATGCTACAGGTGAACCTCACAAACATGAGTGAGTAGAAGAAATCAGATGTACTAAGGCACATGTATATCAGTCTACTTATATATATGTATAGTGTACTTATAAAGTGCAAAACAACCAGAACTGATCTGCAGTGATATTAGTCAGGATAGTGGTCATCTTTGTAGATGGGGAGGAGAGAAGGGCTTCTGGGGTATTATTAATGTTTGGTTTCTCAGGCTGAGAGCTGGTTAGTACAAGTGTGCTCAGTTTGTTAAAAGTCCTCAAGCTGCATATTTAGGATATGTGCACTTGTGTGTGTGTGTGTGTGTGTGTGTGTA